AAAGGTGTCCGACACGGTGGTGGAGCCCTACAATGCGACGCTCTCTGTAACTCTATATTATTGTTATTCTTTTTCAATTTTGAATTGTAATTCTTCTTCAATTTTTTTTTGAATTTGAGAAATGTTATTTTCTTTTGTTCGTTGGAAGCATGGATCTTTGAATCTAATCTGCTTTGAGAATTTTTTTGAAATGCGTATCTAGCTACTTTCAATCTACTTTGAATTAGAGAAATGCTTTTTCCTCTTGCTGCTGCATATTTGTTCCGACGTAATGCAGATTTTTTTAATAAGGGAGCAGTTGCATCGGTTCTTTGTTAACCACCGATGCAATTGATAGTAATTGCATCGGTTGTTACCTAATAACTGATGCAATTGCTTCTTTTATTAATAAAAAAAGTCTGCGCACCTAACCTTTTGCATCGGTTAATTGGTAATAACCGATGCAAATGTAGAAGCTTTTGCATCGGTTTTAACAACCGATGCAAAAAGTTATCTGAGCATTTGTGGCTTTTGCATCGGTTATAAACCGATTTAAAAGGGTCAAAATAACCGATTTAAAAAGTCTTTTTTGTAGTAGTGAATTCCTCCATCCAAAACAGAAAGATATAAAATACTCTTCTTCAATTAAAAATACACTGTTTCAATGAGTAAAAAATTACTGAGAATGAAACCTACATATCCAAAAACAAGTTTATCATTTAATGAAAAATAATAAATTAAAATAGTTTATAAAAGAGTAACAAAAACTATTTATATAATAAAAATATCATTAAAAAATAAAATATTTTATTTGTATTTAAAATTTCATTTTTACTGATAACTAAATAGAAAATAAATTTTATTTAAAAAAAGACGTTTAATGTAATTTTATATTTAATTTAATGATTGATATTATATTATTCTTCTAATTTCATAGATTCTTGGCTCTTTTTATATAAGAGGGCCATGAGGCGAGCTTTTGTGAAGCTTAACAATAGGAGTTCCTACTCGGTTGGTTATAAAAGGGGTGTTACTTCGAAAGAGAAAGGGATTCAGATGTGATCACTGTCTAGAGACTATACTCATATTCCACGGTTCCAACTTTATAGAGTTTCAAGCTCAATCAATAATAGTTGTCAAGCTTATATTGTACATGAACACTCCCAAATATATGAATAACACACTCTCTTGGCATGGTACAACTAAAAAAGCCATGTAATTTTTATAATTTAATTTTTATATAAACATCATTGTTTTCACCTTATTTTATTTATTTTCATTCATATATTTGATTTATTCATTCTTGAATATCCTCAAGGATTAAATTCCATCAATGTTCAATTAACAAAAGACTGCAACGGGTATTATTTTGTGGAGTGGATTAAATGTTGAATTTTCTTAATTAGAAACGATCATTTTTAAAAAGTGAAACACTAAATAGGTTTAAAACATATGTCATTTTCCAATATAGGACTTAAAATTGTTTTATTTTCTAAATAGGACTTAATAATCTCTAGTGAGCTAGAGGAATAATGTCCAGTAATCATGGACATTTAGTTGAATAATAACTAATTGATAATGACCAAAAGTCCTACATTGGAAAATAAAAATATATGGTCCTATATTGAGAAAGTCGTTATGTTTTAGTCCTATTTAGGTAAATTTCTCTTTTGAAAATTTACTCAGATTGGCGATCTGTTTGTGTCATTGAGTTCAGAGCAGCAAGCTCTACAATATAAAATAAATTCACACATTTAAAGGACAAATCCCAAAATAACCTTGTTCGTGTCCGACTTGATATTTACTTAATTATTTAAATTAATTAAAATATTAAGCTAGGTTTTGGGGCGTTACACGACATATGGGTGTTACAACAACGTACTCAAATGATGGAAATACAAGTAAACTATGTTCTCTGTGATGTATACACTGGCGAAACAAGTATTATATGTTAGTTTCTACAATTGCAGTTGAGAAAGTCTTTCCTTTGCTGGAGGGTTTTACTCAGAAAACTTCCTTTGGACACTACTTTTTTAAAATTTGGCTATTCTGTGGCATCTAAATGTGGTTGTTGTTCTCATCCTGCAATTGAGACTACTGAACATGTTTTTTGCTCAAAGTATTGTGGCCCAAACTGTTTGGAAGTACTTTAACACCATGTTTGGTCTTATGAGTGGTTCTTCCACTATTAAACACCACTTATCTGTTTGGTGGGGGTCCAAACTTCATTCCAAAAAGCCCACAGTTAGGGACTTTTTGAAAAATGCGTGCCATTTTTTATTCTAAGAGAGCTATGGGTGCATTATGCTTCTATTAAATTTGGAAAGAATCAATTAATATTCTTAGAATTATTTTTAAGGTCAGGAAGGATGCTGTTGAAGCAGCCTGCAAATCCCATATGATCTCCAACTTAAACAAGTTCTTTCTAATGGAAAAAAGGGTGGTTTGAATGTGGGGGCGGTTCTTATTTTACCGGAGGGTTTTGAATTAGCTCCGCCTGATCGCATTTCCCCTGAGCTCAAATAAAAAATAGGAAATTTATATTTTCAGAGTTATCGCCCAGATATAAAAAATATTCAGACCTTTTTAAATCTTTTGTTTACATTAATTTATGAGAAAGTACAAGTGGCCTCAGTTGATGAATGCTCTTCAGGACTGGAAGACCATTTTTAATCACTCAGGCCCACTGCCTAAAAATTTTCATTCCAAAAAAGTCTTTGGGCAGCCTCCTTTGGATGGTAAGAATAAAGTTATTGTTGCACTACTCTATATCAACCAGACGTGCATGTGGGTCTGCGGTAGTTGCTAGGGATTCCAAGGGGATGGTGATGCATGCTATTGGTTATAAAGGGAGATCTTCTATACTGGAGGTTCTCCTAACTTGTTTACTTCAAATTCTTCAATGGTGTTTAGCATCCGATTTTAAAGCATACCAATTTGAATCTGATTCAGATGCTCTTATTCGTTTGCTTAACCCTGCTTATTACTTTGGAAAATATCAGTAGGTTGGCGATTCTCTTAAGTTATTGGGATTACTCTGTTCATTTGATTGATAATGAGCCTAACAGGGTTGCTTGCAATTTGGTTCAATGGTGCTGTAATCAGCCGCACCCCATCTTTGAGTTTACAACTATATTTGATTTTTCTATGGGCTGTTAAATTCTGTGCCAACATAATATTCTGCATGTACCTAGCTTTTCTGCTTCTTCTTCTGTTTAGGAAGGTTGTATGTTTTAGGGCATACTTTGCAGTCCTATCTTTCTGGAGATACGAAGAACTTGGACTTTGGGTGCACTCATTTTCCTATTCTTATCTCCTAGGGGATAGTGTTTGCTTGTGGGATAAAGACTTTCAAGCCATGACTGGTTCTACTGAGATTATGGAGAACTTGGATGTTATAGGTGTGCTTATAATATCTTTTCCTAGTCTTGGTATGTATGGTTTGTGTAGTGGGAAGTTGCTGGCTTAGATTGGCTTTATTCTTTCTTTGGAGTTGTGACCACTTCCCTTGTGTTTGTTATGGCACGTCATTAGGCCATTGGTCATGCTTTTGACCAGTTTGGTATTGTTTTGACCTTATTGTGGCACTGGTCATGCCTTAGACTAGTTTTTTTGTATCCGGGGCCTTTTTGTGGCATTAGTCATGCCTTAGACTAGTTGTTTTTCTAGCTAGTTACTTATTGTGGCTTTGGTCAAGCCGTGTTCTAGGCTCCCCTTCTCCCTTACTCATTGTATTCCCCGGAAGGTTTGTCTTCCGTATGAGGGGCTGGCATTAGGCCTTGGTTCGGTCCTCCCCTCACTTTGTAATTCCATGCTATCTTAATAAAACTTGGTAAGGGTTGCTTAGACCTTATCCCACCAAAATTGGTGATTTGCCACTGGGATTTAAAAAAATTAGGTCAAGCAACGCACGCGTACAAGTCTAATTTTTTGAACAAGGAAAGAATCGCGAACATTTTTTTTGGTCTAAAAGAATTGGGCTTGTGCGTGGATTGGGTACCTAGGTGGGTCGGGCCTTTTAAAAAAAGATCCGGAGCAAAGAGAGAACGCATCATCCTTATGACCATAGCTCTCTGCTACACTATCTTCTCCCATTTTGTATCCCCCCTCCCCTCGCTCTCTCTCTCTCTCTCACACACAACCATATTTATACTTTAAACGGAGTGGGCATATAATATTATGTCAATGAAAATATCAATTGCTCATTGAATCATTATGGAACAGCTTGTGAATTTCGTTATAAGACCACCCAGGTGAAAATAAATCTTCCCTTTCTTTTCCTCTTCACTACACAGCTGGGCCAGTATTGATATGCAAATTGTATTGTTGTATCTGAACTCGTAACATTTTTCTTAAATTTTAATTTTTTGTACAGTTTATGGTGTAAGGTTGTCGAATTGCTCTGGGATTCGTTTGAAATAAATACTTGGTGATAGGCTGCTAGATTTATTAATTTTAGCAGTTTGATTTTTAGTTTCATTTCAAAATCTATGGGTTTAAGATTGTGCGTGATTATCACGAGATCCCTATTCATTTTGGAATCCTTTGTTAGCTTATGTTTCATCTTATTCTGATGAAATGATTTGAGTTGAAAATGTTTTTTTTCATACAGTAATTGAGAGTTCAGTAATTTTTTGCAAACTCTTTAAGTATTGCTTCGAGTTTCATTATTTATTTTTCAATTTCGTAAGGAGCAAGGAATTAGTCCAGCATTGCATTTGACAAATAAATGTGAAGTTAGGTAGATCATGTTAGAACTCTTGTTTCCAATAAACCAAGATCGGTATTCATTTTTTGTCATGTAACATAAGGGATCTCTTAGTATTTGATACTACCTCCGTGCAAAATATGATTTATGCTTTATTGAGTTACAAGTATTTGATTTTGATAAGGTAAAAATCTTATTCCCTTGATCCTGAAATAAGGTTCCACATTTGAGCGGGCATGATTATTAAGAAAGATAAAGATGTGTTTGTGAGAAATGCAACGACAACAACAACCCAGTTAAATCCCACAAGAGTAGGGTCTGGGGAGGGTGTGTGTACGCAGACCTTACCCCTACTCGAAAGTAGAGAGGCTGTTTCCAAAGAGACCCCCGGCTCAACGTCGAAAGTTGCATTGCTTGACTAACTGCTACTTCATTAATTAAAGAAGCGCAGACAGTTTAGAGATCCATTTTGATTTATTCCATCACACCCCAAAGCCAATAATGGTGAGAAATGATGATAACCATATAATCATTTGCTCAAAAGGAATTTGGAGCCCTTTTTGGAACAAACTTAAAAAAAGGTGGAACTTTTTGTGGAATAGAGAGTATAGATTATCAGTCTTATATATATTATTAATTTTATGTGTTTTTTCAACTAAACTTAATATACTTGTACGGATATTTTCAGAAACATTACATTAAATATAACATAATGCAAATGTTGCATTTCTTTAAAAGTAACTCTTTGGTGGGCATAAAAATAAGTTGTATAACACGAATCTCGTTTTCAGGACAAAGGGATTAAAGTGAAAGTGAGTTGCAAGCATGCATTTTCGGAAAATAAACCTTGAAAACAGGAACATAAAGAGAAAAGTGAGATGCTCTTTAATAGGAGCATATACATCAAATACATATTATTAATCTAAAAGCAGCAAAGAAGTAAAGTTATCTTTAGAAAAAAATGTTGTACTAGGATAATTTAATAATTTAGAAGAGTTTGGTTTTCCATTCTCCAACCATAAGGACCAAAGAGTTTAAAACCCCTCTTATTTGTAGGG